ATTGTGCTTCTGTTTGGGTTTGAAAAATGTATCTCACTCCGAACTGTATTTTCAATATCATATCTGCTGGCTGAACTGAGAGATGGAAAAGCAGCTGCTCACGTGGTGTTTGTTAGTGATTGAGCTGTATTTGCTCTCAATTGCTGATTTATGAGCAGGTTAATCTACTTTTAATATTCAATATTGGCTCACCTAAAATGACTTAAAAGTAGAGATACATAACAAAGACAAATAGCAGTGGCACTGGGAATCTCTCAGCCAGTTCTTGCCACTCATTGCATTTTTCTTCCTCTAAGTGTTCAGGACTGCAGGAACTGATTTTCTCAGGATGTGAACATGAGATTTTGCCTGTAACTGCTGATACCCAACATTCCTGGAGAAAAAAATGCTGAGATTTTAAGAGGGTAATTGCAGTGGGTTTTAGTGGTGGAGGGGATGTACTTCTCTGGAGTACAGTAACTCTCCTGTTCTCCGTGGGATTGAGTACCTCAGGATCAAATTGTGTCTTTAATTAAAATGTATGAATTCCTGAGGGATAGGGCTGTGCAACTGCTCTCAAGATCTTGTAAGACCTTGTAGTAACAGAAAGATCTATTTAATCTGACTTTGTCTTGCACATTTTACAAATGTGAGCTCTTAAAGGGCTAAGAATCATTAGCCAAACCTTGTTGCTGTGTTTATTAGAGGATGTGTTTGATGTCCCTGAAACGATTCTCAGTTTCTGAGGTCACATTCACTCACACTATCATTATGAAATTGGGTTCCTTTGGTGAACTAGAGAGTATCTACTCTTGGAATTTTTGCTGTCATTCCATTCATTACAAAGCTGTGCAGTCAGGCTGCCTTTTCCTCTTACAGGTCCCAGTTGTAAGTTCATACCTGACCATGATTTTCATGGAAAATGGAGTACGAGGGAGTTTTCAGCTTTTCTGGGTGGCATCTCATCTGCCAGGGCTGGGGCCAAGCCCAAAGTAGCTAATAATTGCATAGAGCACCATGTTGTATTTAAATGTCAGCATTAAGCCAAGCAAAAGTGTCTGAGCATTGTTGAATCGAGTTCTGAAACTATATTTTGAGATGAAATCCATCCAAGCTTTGCATGTAGCCAAGAAAGAAACTAGATGGGCTAACCTGGCAGTACAGTGAAATTCTTTTAGTTCAGTGATGCACAAAGCAAGACATGTTGTGGAGCAAATTTCCAGATAATTTTGGCATATACAATCCTAGTTTTTTCTTGAGATTTTCATAAAAATAAATCTGCACCATCCTTGTGAAGATACTAGTCAGGATGTTGGCGAGTTTGGTGAGCAGACTTAATGAAAATTTGTTGAAGCTGTATAGATACATGTGCCAACAGATTGGCACCTTATCCCTTTGCTCCTTCTTGCAACTTGGAGTAGTTTTTAATTACTATTCCTTTTATTTTTAAGTCAGTGTCACTGAAGAGCCAGAGAGGCTGGAAGTGTTAACACATTTAGCATTTAGAAAGAGCAGCAGTGCTTGCTGCTTTGCTTTTTTTTTTGTGTAGGCAGAAAACTACTTTAGCTAAGAATATTAATTGCAGTATCTTATTATTTTGGTTTCTAGGCCTCAGATAGGCTTTTTATTAGTATTTTACTCCATTCTCCAAGAGAATTGAAAGAGAGATGCTTTCCTGGCTTCTAAACTCTTGGTTGGCCAAGGTTAGCCCTGTGGTGAGCCCTTTCTCTAGTTAATTAATAAGTGCAAGTACCTCATAGCTATTCACTGACCCCTTTTATCTTCCATCCCTTAGCCACTTATTTCTTTTCTAGAATTTCCTTTCTGAGATGGCTTTCATTTTTCCTGACAGTTTTCCTCTTTCTCTGGGATACTCTTTAACAACCAAACTTGTCCTTGCAGGTCCAGTTTAAAATTCAGCTTTCAATTTCAGCTTAAAGATGGAAAGCTCAGGGTGCAGCCCTGGTTTGCTCCTGAGCCTGAGCAGCTCTGTGCTGCAGAAATGCCAAAGTCATCAAAGCTTCACTGCTGCCTCTCTGCATGGGATCTTTGCTCAGTATTTTATTTTCATTTCTGCTTTCAGTGAATATTTAGTGAGCTCTGATTACATAATTGAATTTGATAAACTGATGGTATGTGATTGATGAGAAAGTCAGGAATAAAAGATTAGAAGATAAAATTACTTCAAGGGTTTAAGTAAATCTTCCAGAGAGCCAGGGTAATTTATAAAGCATGCTATACTCTTTATAAAAATATTCCCCTAGGTCTATTAAATTTTAGCTTCTAACAGAACTGGATTGAGTTTTGAGAATCATTTTCATGTAATACCAGCTTGATTGTGATAAGTTAAATGGGAGATAGCTCTGAGTGGGCTGCAGCATCACTGGGTTTGGAGTATTTGAGTAGGAAGTGTAGGGCTGAATGACAGACCTGTGGGCAGCAGCCTTTGTCTTTCAAATAAATCATTTTTCCTTGGGAAGACGTAAGTTAGAAGGAGTAAGTGGATAATTCAGAGTGAAGTAATGAAGGAGATTATGCTGCTGAGTCTGTAAATCACTGCAAACCAGGATCAACAAATGACTCAGGTGGAGGTTTATGGTGCAAATACCAGTTTCACTCTAATCTCCCTCAATGACTCGACTTTATTCAGGGAGGAATAGCTCAGGAAGTGCATTCCATGAGCCTCTCTACATCAGCAGGGAAATGTCATCGCTTTCAGGGGATTTGGCACTGATCATTTGAATTTCCCAACTGGTCTCTGGTACAAACCCTTCCCTGAACACAGCACAGCCCCCAGGACTGCCTTTCCATGTCCAGGGGAAGCCTGGCACCTTGGATCTTGCAAGGGTAGAATGTCTTATCTCATGACTCCCTTGGGAGACTCCCTGAAAGATATGTGAAACCTTTGACAGGATTTAACATCATCTCACTTGTTTAGAAATATCTTTTAAAAATCTGCTTTTCACTCTGGGTAAGAATAACTGTATTTCACACAAACATCCTCTAACTCCAACTTACAATGTTTAAAATATTGGTTGATTTTACTGGTTAGGAGAAAATGGGAATGGAGATAAGATGACTTCACAATATTTGCAGTCATTAAAACCGAAAAAAAAGAAGCTTTGCAGAATGTATTTTCAGACATGTAATAGAGTGGAGAGGTGCTAAAAGTATCCTTGGCTTGCCTGGAAATCTGCTAGTTTGGAACTGTTCCGATTTTCTCATGTGTTAAATTGTTGTAGCTTCCTGTATAGCCAATTTAAAGAAGATCTTACCGATCTGCACTTGTTATTACTCAGTTTGTTTGAAAAACAGGTTGTTTAAAATGTGACAAATCAGCAAAGGGTCTTACCTCAAAATGCAGGTTTTACCTCAGTTTGTTAGCTCCGATTTGGGGTGACAGTTTAAAAGTATTGCTTTAAGAATCTGTGCTTTTTTTCCCTGCATAAATGACTATGTTTTTGAAGTTAAATTCTAAAAACTTAGGAGACAATTTGTCAATACAAATCATCAGCTGTGTAGGGAGATTTATAGCCGATCGGAGCAGAATTTGGTGACAGTGTCCTGGGGCTCCCTGGCCACGCTCAGCTGTGCTGCCATGTGCTCTGCAAGGGAATAAACATTCCCTGAGAAGAGGCAAAGTGAAAGATAAGGGTTTAGAGAAGTTGACATCACCAGACTGAGCTGTGTACCCTGGTGGAACACCAGAGCATCTGGAAAGTCACCAACACCCCTTGCCCTGAGCTCCTCTTCCCCAAGCCTTGTGGTTGCTGTCTTGTGGCTATCAGCTATTAAAGGTGACAGTATGTGACCTGTGGATTCACCAACTTCAGCCAGCCTTGGAAAGTACATGAAGTCACTTCCCTATGAACAGTAAAAAAGAGCTCAGACTCTTTAAATAACAAGTATAAAAATGCCTGAGCTTACCTAAAATAAATTTTTAAAGAAAGAGTTTAACGTAACTGTTTAACCAACCCATTACTTGCACTGGGACAACATTTGTGTATCTTGGGGTTGTTTTTTGTATTTTATATAAATTACACACTCTTTAAAGCAGAGTTCAGTATCCTCTGCCTATTACATATTATTAATACTGTGTATTAAATCCATCACTTTGAATATAACCTATGTGTTCTATATCTAGACATAAGCATGTTAATTTGGATTCTAGAAGGTATTTGTATGCTTCTGAGATGAAGCCTGTAATTCCTGCATAGTTACAAGTAGAAATTTGACACATAGAGTGTGAAAACTTCCATCTTCCAGAGGTGACTGGGGTGGATCTCCAGCAGGTGTAGACTCAGAATAAATCTGTGTTTGAGTAGAGCTTTGGCAATTTACCCATCAAGAATTTTGCTGCTTGGAGTCTTTTTGAGTATTTGTGATACACAAGAGTTTGAGAATACATGTGACCCTTGAATATTATTGAAGGACCCTAATTCAAAATCTGTTAGTGGCTTCAGGTAATATAATTTAACACATTTTGGTTGGCAAGAACATTGAAAAACACATTAAACTTGTGATTTTGTGAGGTGGGTTTTTTTCTAAACTCTTTTTTCTATCCAGATTCTTCATTTACCCTGAGACTTCTCCTGCTGTGATAATCATTTCTATCCAAGATTACTATTCTGGTTTCTATTCAAGAAATAAAAAAAAGCTTTGAGTGGATTTAGTCCTTACAGAGGAGAGAGGGGAAAAAAAAGCCAAATAGGGCTGTTCAGTGCCTGCCACAACAGACAATGCTGGAATTCTCATATGGATAAACAATAAACATGGACAAAGGCTTGTCTGAGTGGGCACTTCTCTTGTAAATAAGAACAAAGGACTAAGGTTATCCCAAATTTGTGGATTCTGCCAGTAAAGATGAAGCTAAATTCCAAGCGTAGGTGTCACCATCACTATTGCAGCATGTTGGCTCTTGTTTTACTATGGCCATTTTGTGAAGAAATGAGCTAAATATTGCTGGTTTATACTGTATTTTCTCAAATAGCCTCCAAACCTGTTTTCTCTTTGTATTTCAGATGATGTTGCACCATACTTCAAGACAGAACCTGGCTTGCCCCAGATACACCTGGAAGGAAACCGACTCGTACTTACGTGCCTTGCTGAAGGCAGTTGGCCCTTGGAATTCAAGTGGTTACACAACGACAGTGAAATAACCTCCTACTCCAGTGAATATAAGTAAATAAGATCTCTATATTCTCCTTTTTTGTAACTGCAAAACAAACCCCCAAGACAAACACCACCCCCCTGATTCCCCACTACCTCAAAGAGCTTTGTAGATACAGACACGTGGACATTGGGGTTTGGTTATGAAAGTAGACTGAGTCTTGTAAACAGATCTGAGATCTCTGAGAGAGAATCTCCTTTGCTAAAAATGAGATTTGACACTTCAAAACACGGGGCCTAACACAGAATTTCCAAGTACCAAAAATGCTTCTTGCTGGAGGTGTAACCTTGCCTGTATTTGTAATAGATAGCAGCATATTCCTTAGCTAGATGTTACATACAATATGTGACTCATCCTTGAACAGAGCTGAGCTCAGTGGCACTGTTCTCTTCAATCAGATCTAGAAGCATGTGGTCTATCTCAAATTCCACACAAAGCTTTCTGTTTCACTTCTAAGAATGCCAAAATTAAGCTGATAGTTCAATGAACTGTTGTTTAGTGATTCTGCACTGTGCCCCCAGGGCCTCACTGACTCCCTCCCCATCCCACAAGACATTCCATCAAACAGGAGAAAAACCATTCTGTGGTTTATCAGAGCTACATTTGTGCTGATAGGCAGCACATGGCTGGCCAAGTATCAGTGTCAAACAGCCAAGGTTTGTCTTGTTTCCTGTGGGAGCATTAACTGGATCTTCTCTATGGAATTGGCAATTTCTATAACCTTGGAGGAATTGAATAGTTATGCAACTTATCTGTTCCTTTCAAATTGTATAGAAATGACCTAGTGAATTCAGAAGTTGTGAGGGGTTGGTATGTGACAGATAGAGCCCTCGTGTAACACTTGAACCTAAAGCAAACCGAGCTAAACACTGCACATTTGGGATTCCATGGCTTAAGTTAGGGAAAGGTTGTGCCATCACTATAGATAGAAAGTACAGAATAAGTTGGTCTAAAAATGCAGCTAATGATATCAAGTTCTATATTGTTACACAAGATAGTCCATAATTACTTTTCTCAAAGTAATTTTTTTTTCAAGATTGTAACCTAACATTAGTTCTAGTTCTGATATTATTTACATTTACAGAGCAAGAGGGAAAAAAGTCCCTCAAATACCTTTTTAAAACTGTTTTTGGGGGTAATTGCAAGTATTTAGCAACTGTTTCCAGCCAAACATAGAGTTCTATGTGAACTTTCCTAGAAATGCAGGACTTTTGGTTTAGATGAGCTCACTTAGCCCTGAGTAACTGCCTCTGTTAATGATTTTATTTTGAAGCCCCAAGATACTCTGCTACCTCCAAATGAGCCACATGCACATATAGAGGAGATTTGTGAATACTCTCTAGAAAATAAAAAAATTGCTAATAGCACAACAAATCACAGAATGTTTGGGCATCACTTTGTGTAAATGCCACTTGTTTTGATCAACAGCAGCAGAGTCTGTTGTAGTTGCTTAGTAGAAGGAGCTGAAAACATCCTTTAACCACATAAGGTGCTGAGAAAGTGGGATAAAAAATGGGGTGGGAGGACAAACACATGAACGTGGAATCAACAACAAGCAAAGGTTAGAACTCAAGCCTTTTAGATGTGCTAGTCACTGGGAGACTGACATTTCATCATATTAGGACAAACCTGAGCAGGGACGTGTGACATTTTGAAGCTGGGATCAGAATGCCATGGTATTTCTTAAACAAGTGGACATCCTCACACAAAATTAGAATCTTTCTGGGTATGGCAGTGTAAGTTAGAATCAGTGATCAGAACACTTTTTTTTTTTTTCCTGCAGTCAGTCCCTTGTTTCTTATCACTGGATTTAATTTAGTCTAGTGAATGTCAGGTCACGATCCAAGCTATATTTATTAATTCTGCTTTTTTATATTGTTCCTATTTCTCCTTCTAATTACAGCATCTGATGCAGAGGTGATTAAGAAGATAGGAAACTACTGGTTTCTAATAATAAAATAACACTGGTAGAAAATATTACTTGAGAAGTTGCAGCCCTATTTCTACTCCTACACCACAGTCAGACATAAGGCAAACAGGATTTTGATGTTATAGGAATGCAAAGCTTTAAGCTTCCAAAAAAAAAGATTATATGGCATTGGTGCATTAGGATGAATGAAAGCAAAGAAAAGATATGCTTAGACATAAAGATTCCAGTTGCAAAATTTAAACTTTGACCCTGTAATAGTTTGCTCTGAAGTTCTCATGGGTAAATACCGTGTTTAAATGCACGAATCTTCCTGAGTAAGTGACTTCTGCTGCAATTTGAATCATCAATCAAAGATTTTTGGTAATTGATATTACTTAGTGTGTCTCAGTTAAAGTAATGTCTATATTGTAACAGGCTGAAAATATATTATTATAACACCCCAAGTGAGTAAAGAACTAATTGGAGTCTTTGCATTTTGACACTGGTGACCCTGAATGAACAGCTTTCCTTTGTCTAACGAAGCTGATTATGTGCACAGCCTCCTTTTGGAGTGACTGTGCATACACTAGTTTGTATTAAGAATTTATAAAACAACCTTATAAATTCTTTGTGATCTGAGATACATGTAATGAAAACAAATCAATGCTGCTGACTGCAAGAGCAATTTTGGTTATGTCTATTAAGTTAAGAGACTTTAAAGTTCAAGCTGTGGTTTGGTTTGGTTTGGTTTTCTTCCCTTTGTTTTCTTTGGAATTAAGTTCTGGTCCAGGTGTGTCTTCCATATTTGCTTTTGTGGCCTGAAGATACTAATTTATTTCAATTTAAGAACCTAAGATTATGTCTAAGCAGCCACACACTTTTCCTCTCAAATGACTTAAAATATCTGATGATTATGTTTGTGTTTTTAACACTGGACACATTTTAACTTCATCCTCCATAAAAGAAGTTAGATCCATTGATGCATAAGTCCCTTGTTAAAAAGTTTGAATAGCTAATAAGTTACATGACTCTCTAATAAAATACATTTGGTTTTAATTCCGTATTCATCATTATGACTATTAAATCCTGTAGCCTATAGGTTTGCTTTTAACTCTTAGAGCATTTAAAATTAAAATGAGGGTTTAAATTTTAAATTAGAACTGAAATACAAGTGTGAGCTAGCATTTCTCCTTAGGTGTCTGCTACCAGCCCATCCTTAAACTCTCATTCATTGCAATCTTATGCTCTGGAAGACTTCCCTTGAAGCTTTCTTTTCTGCCTGTCACTTTACATCTTCCTATAGGAACTTTCTAAACAGCAATTTCTGGTTGGCTGTACCATTCAAAATGAAGAAACTGTCTGGTCTGACTTTCTAAAGTCCTTGCAGAGATCCCCAGAAACCTTACGTAGCCTCCTGGCATCTATACAATGGGAAGATCTGTCTTGAAAGTTAGAGGGTAGACAAAAATAAAGCAAAATTATGTCTTGTCACTGTAAGAAATTGTATTAACATTTGATACAAATTCATTGTGGGGAAGAAAGACTTATTTTAGTCCTGCAGACCAGAAAATAAGTCAGCTGGGGAAAGCATAGCACACAGCAGCAGTATCATAACTGTTAGGTCAGGAGAAAAGTGTATTTTAAAAAAATAATAAGACATACGAGGTGCATAAAAACTGCTTAAAATTGTAAACAGAATCAGCAATTCCATTAATATTTATCTCTTGCCCAGGTTTGTAATTTTCAAGTTAAGTCTCAAATAATATAAACACATGTCCTATCTCTGTTTTTTCCACTTTTGTTTTTTAATTCTTCTAATTTTGCCTGCTCTACCTGCACATTATACCCAGTAGGCTCACTGAGGATCCAGCTGCTCAGGAGGTTTGGGCTGCCTTGGAATTGCCAAGGTAGATGGCATTTTCACTGTAAATTTTTAAAAGATTTTCAT